ATTTTCAAATCCAGATCGCGGTTCCGAGTCTTAGCATGACATCAAAAGCCCAAAGCACTGGTGTTGACAATATGCATTGACTCATTTTTTTTGCCACAAAAAAAGACATTGGAACACCTTGGTTCGCCACCCTCACACCTTTGAGTGAGTGGGTGCGTAGTTGTTTGTACGTAGCCAATCGGAATGAAACAGTGTCACAAGAACGAGTGTGCAAAGTGTAGATTTCATTTAATCACACCAGGCCAAAGGTAGATTTCTAATCATGGCAATGGCGAAGTGTAAGAAGTCGCCTTTTTGGGCCATCTTTACAACCTGTTTCACTTGTACGTCTAAAGAGTGTGCAATAAGTCCTGGTTCGGATAAAGGGCGACCGAAGTTAGGCAAAAACTACGGTCTTTCTGTGAAACAGGTAGGGTGTTAAATCGTTGGGAGGAGGATGTATGCGTCCCAATTCACACGTTATTGCTTTTCATTAAGACGTAAAATTTTCCATTGCAGCCGGTTAAGAATCCAGATGAGGATTGCGAGATGGTTACTGCAGTGGACACCGACAACTGTGAGTTTCTCCTTTTTTTAACTACAATGCTTTGGATTTGCCATAAAGATCCATTTAGTGTTTTTTTGCCTGAATAACTGGAACTCCACCTTCCAGCATTTTGATTGGTTGACTGGGAATAAGTAATATTTGACATTTATTGCCTTTTAGTGACAAAAGTTCAGTTCCAATTTCTCGAGGCTGCACGAACTAATCGATGTGACATTCTTGGAATGATTATTGAGCAACATGCTTGCCGTTTGGATTTGAAAAACAACTTGGATCGTACGGCTCTACACCTAGCAGCCGCTCAGGGCTGTTTCGAGGCGGTTCAGATGCTTGTCAATGCAAGAGCCTCTGTTGACATTCCGGATAAGGTAAGTTATACTTCAAGGAGGAAATGATGGCTATGTTCAAGGTCCTCAGACTGATGTGAACAATTAAAATGGTCTTTTTAACTCTTGGAAGACAGTGAAGTGATCTGGAAGCGTTCCAACCAATCAGAAGGGCGTAGCTTGAGTAATGACTGGCTTTTCAAGGCAACTTGTCCTCAGCTATGGAGAAACAGTCTTCTTGTGCTCTTAGAAGTGATGAATTGGGTTCGGGGTCTAAACGTGGATCTTGCAACTGTTTGAACAAGAAGTGCCTTTCTTCCATTTCAGCATGGCATGACTCCAATGTTCTGGGCTGCGTACAAAGACTACGTCGACATCGTGGTGTACCTGATCAAGCATGGCGCCTCTGTCTATCGCAAAACAAAGGTTAGTTTCCGCCTTTAAGGCTCGAGAGAGAGAGAAATTTATTCGTTTATACGATCACCAAATTATCATCAACATGCCTTCTCGTGACTTTCAGCGAGGCTTCACCCTCCTCCACGTTCTAGCCAAGGCGGACGCAATCAAGACGTTGGAGACCCTTGTGCGAAGCAAAATTATCCGCAATTTTCAGGAGTTAGACTTAGTAGGTTAAAAATTTTGAGGTTTTAGTGTTTCTAGGACGATTGCACACCTCTCATGGTTGCTACGATGTCGGGCAGTCTGAGAGCCGCCACCGTGCTCTCGAGAATCGGCAATCTGGAGTCGAATGTGGACAAGGTGAGGTGAAGGGGAGAGCAGAGGGAGGCGCCTCATACCATTCGTCTAAGCACAGTCCTACATTCATTCATCCTGCCATCCTTGCCATTCCATTCAAATTACAGCTTTGTCTTGCATATTTTTTTTATCAAGTTTTACTTCACCTCGTCCAACAAGCCTCTGGACGATAAGTGATCCAAAAGAGTCACTTCGGTGTCCCACCAACCTCCCGAATGTCCTTCCACTAAGATAGTCCAAATCAAAGAACTGCTTTCACCTCTCTGACTATCATTTGGCAGTCTTTCTCTCTTTCTTTTGTCAATAGACTAAGAAAAATGTCTTCCACCTCGCTGTCTTGGGTGGAAGTTCTCTGGTGTTGGAGCAGTTATGCAAGCACGAAGAGATGCCCAAACTGATTAACGCTTTTGTGAGTTTGCTGCTTTCTTTTTTTTTGTTGCCTTAATAGACAAAAGTCAAGAGTTTTGGTGGACATTGCGACTTCTCTTTGATCTAGGACGATGATCTTATGGCACCGATTCACTATGCAACCGACTTGGACGACTACGACAGCGTGTCGGTTTTACTGAAGTATGGCGCTCGAGTAAATATTAAGTCAAAGGTAAGGCAAAACAGTGAAATCGTCATTGAGTGGCTCCATGACATCGTTGAAGGCAAGAAGAGGGTAGTGTTTTTTTTCTAAGAACATTTTTATGCGTTGAAAGAGGTGCTCTTTGAAGAGGATGTACAAATCGAGGCATCCTGAGACGATCATACCCACAAAGCATCCACCATTTAGACGTTTCAGAGATGATTCACTCATTTTCCTCTTTACAAAACCGTTTGTCGGGAGAATTAGACGTTGTCGATGCTATCCACGACCATCAACTGCCATGAAGGTATTTTACAAGGTGATGTAAAAGTATGCCGATGACATTCTACGCATCATTAGCTTGCATTTCCGCCTTCCTTCAATCCATCGAGGAAGGCGGTTCAACAGCAGGGAGGTGGAGAAAGATGGGGACAATTAAGGTCATTGACCTCTCCAACTCGGCTTCTCCTTTTAGAAAGCGCCTTTTCCGATCATAACTGCATCACGACATGGAAACATCGACTTGATCAACCTCCTCTTGACCAATAAGGCAAGAATTTCGGCCAAAGACTTTGTAAGTCTGCCGCAAAATTCTGCAAAATTTTTTTGTTTAAACCCATTATTAGTGTCTAGGTTTCCTCTTCTCCGCTTCTGATCACACAAATGTGATTGTAAGTGTGGAATATCTGGACTAATGACAACAATGAATCATTGTGTATCTCAATAGATGTGAGGATGTAGATTCTTAGTCCTCAACCTTCTTCCTTAAGGATTGACTTCCTACTTTTAATTTTCTTCCTCTGCCCAACGCCTAGGCTGGAAACACTCCCCTCCACGTGTGCTGCATTGCCAATCAAGTGGATGCAGCGCGATTCCTCCTTCAAAAAGGTGCCAATATGCTGACATTGAATAAGGCAAGTAACTATCTTCTCCACTCTGCTTTCCCCCAAAGGTGTTCAGTGACACCTTGACCAATCTTAAGACCATTAACTTTTGGTCACTTATTAGCAGACTCACTGCAGGGCGCTATGCGTAATCTTTTGCTTTCTGCCTTGAATATATGCTAAACTACTTAATTCCATTTCAGCGGCTTCAAACACCTTTTAATGCAGCAGTAGAGCAGGACAGTGCAGAGGTGGCGGAGCTGTTAATTCTCGCCGGAGCACCAATAAACGAAGTCGATAGAGTAAGTTCATCACCTTGTTGAGTTTAGTGTAGGGGCCTAACTTATACCTCTTGACTGATCTGAGACCAAACTTACAACTTTTGGAGCATTTTTCATAAACGCTTTATTGGAAGAAAAAGCATTGGAAGACGTGTTCTGTAGATTAACTATGCTATCCATAATCAAAGTTAATAACGCATCTTACTAATTTGTTTTAAGTAGTAAGTTCCTCGAAGGTTAAATTAATTAATCTGCTAAAATTGGTGCGTTTTTAGGCTGCAAAGAAGCCTTTAATGCAGGCAGCGCTGTCTGGATTTGTGAGGATAGTGGATATGATTATCAAGGCCGAACGATGGCGATCAACTTATCCGGTGAGACTTGATTCTGTTTACGTTGGGCTTGCTTTGATTATGCAAACTACGCTTACACCTCCGCTGCCCATTGGTTGATATTGGATTCAAGCATCCCGTCTCGGTCATCCTGGCTCTGTAGTGTAATATGCACCACTTGGGATTAACTGGATCTAAGGTGGAAAGTAGATGAGCAAATTGACTAATGCCACCACAGAAATAGCTGAGTTCAGCAGAGACAAATACATTATAGAAGGTTGAAGAATGGTAGAATGATGGCAATGTAAGCAATGAGGTCGATCGTCACTATATTTAGTTCTTCTTTAGGCTGCAGCTGCCATTATGGCTAAAAAGTACAACCCCAAAGGTGGGGTGGGAGATGCCGAGGACGAATCAGGGACAGGTGATGAGTATGGTGAAGAGGAGGTCTTGGGCGAAGACAGCGAAAATGCGAATTCGGAGAGCACAAACTCAATTTCTGAGGCTCCGACCTACACCTCTAAATCCTCCAACTCAGGAGACGAGGACGGGGAGAGTGATGATGACTCCCTCTCTCAAGCTGAGACTTACCATAGTGACACTGAGGGGAGTAGGGAATTGGCAACTTCTGAAAATTCTGCTGAGCTAAGCAATGATGTATTTACCTCGCCTCGCCAGTATCGTAAAGCTGAATCGGTGCACTCATCCACCTCGGCATCTGGAAGTGCACGAGGTCGAATGATTGAACGATCGAAACGTCAAAAGGCGGTTCCAACTTCTGGTGATGTCTATGATGCGTCTGTCAGTCATAGCAACCTCCACGAAGAAGAGGAAAATCCTTCTTCAACCCCAAAACTATCGAGGTACGCATTGTCCTTGAATAGGATCCAACTTTAATTGGACTGCACTGGATCCTTTTCTTAGGAGTCAGAGTTCTGCTTTCCAATTTAGAATCCACTCAAATTCGCTCCCATCACTTGATCAGGCCAAGGGCTCAGCAGCATCGAAACCGCCTATTCCAAGCAGGCGAGCACGGGAACCAAAGGCACCTGCTTCTCTTTGCCAATCACCAGTTACATTGAGGTCTTGCACTAGCTTCTCTCCACTAGACTACCGATTCCTTGTTTTCAATCAGGTAAATTACAATTTCTTTCTTAAACGACAAAATTGTTTTTTTTTTCAATAATGTTTAAGTGAGTTGTAGTGAAGCTATGCTTGTCTGTTGTCGAACATATGACAGCGACAACTTAGAACATTGGAAAAGGTGGTAGCTGATTTGGGTCCCCATTTACCCTTTAAAAAGTGAAAGTTTTATGGGAGCAAATTGAAGATTTTAGGATTTTGCATTTTCACTAGTCCTACGCGGGTCAATTCCAGGCGTTCTTCTTCTACTTTGCCTACAAAAAGTTGCGTCAAGGCGAGTGGAAATCGCTAGCCAGGCACTGGGATTTCTCTGAGGAGCAAATCGATGCCATAGAGATTCAACACACTGGTCTGTCGTCAAAACTACGCCCTACTTAATTTTATACTAGTAGCAGTAATATTTTTGACGATATTTGCCTCTTTTGTTAGGTGACAAAGGAGCCTATAAGGAGCATGGCTATCGTCTATTGTGCATTTGGATGCATGGTTTGAGTGAGGACACCGACCCTGCACCTTTGCTCCACACGGCTCTCACCTCGATTGGCCGAAAGATGGATGCAAAAGATGTCCAAAAAGACTTCTACAAGGCCACACATGGATGGCACTCAAGCAACGACAATTGTCACATCTCGTAACATTTCAAAATTAGTGGGGCTTTGATTGACTGTACATACAATTACGCAAAAGCGTACTTAGACTGGTAAGGGAGACTTAAATAAAGCAATTTTTGAAATTTAAATTCGCACAATATATTGCTTTAACTGTGTACGAGTTTTCCGCTGCTGCATAATCAGTAGATAAACAGCCTTGCATGCTATTACAAGAAGGAGAGATCTTGGAAAAGAATCAAAATTCCGGCATAATGCCCTGGGTTTTACTTAGTAGGGGTGTGAAGAAATGAATATTGCTTAAAATGAAGGTGGTGACGCAATGGGAGGCCGAAAATGTCTAGGACGAGCCCCACCCAGCTCACCCAGGTTCTGTCATACCATAAAACAGAAATGATTGCGCATTGAAGGTCCATTTCCTCCACCCATTTTACCGCCGAGACAGACACGAGGATATGGTCACGATGATGAAGACAACGTTTCCAACCTCAATTTAGTACTTCTGTTCTGCTCATATTTGTAACACATAAGTAACACGCATGTGTCTACTGTTTTTAAAGTGGTGAATTTAAGTTACATCCGAAAATTTGTGGGAAGAAGATCTTAAGGTTCGGCGAAAGATAATAAATTTGCAATCGTGTTTGTGTCCGATAGTGTCCAAATATGAGTCACAGACCAGAGGTTAGTCATTGCTTGAGTGCTGTAAGAAGTACTCTTCGATGAGTTCTTTTATTAACAAAAGTAGCGCAGTTCCCATCACCACCACCATGGCAACACAAGGATCAAGAGAACAAAAGTGTTTCTACTCACTGTATATAAGTAGTAAGCCCATAAAAACTGGACTACGGAAATGTTACTAAATGAAGTTCCAACCTCTCTCAATGAGCTGCCTATGTGGATCGCGAGATACCACCATCTCACTGGAAAATGAACTTTTGCAAATTAAAAAGCACCTCTGATACTTCTTGCATTCTTCATCCGAACCGTCATTTCCAATCCTCCCTTCCTCCCCATCCCTCCCCCCCTCCTTCGTTAGCATACACGAAGCAAGTGGGAAAAAGAGAGAGGGGGATGAGGTATGAGGTTGACGCCCCAAGTTGACCAACGCCCAAAAGACGAGCTGTTTGCTTGTGGACTATAAACATCACCTTCGCTTTGCGTGGGTTAAAGCTTGCCCTCCCTCAGACGCTCAGTCTATGGCTCTGGGAGCTGAGGTGAGTTTGCCGTCAGAAGTTAATTCCACTCTTAAATCAATTTTTGTCTGTCATTTATCCAAAAATAAAATATCACCTATTGGAGCATTGCCTCCGCCTTTTAGCGGTCCTGTTTAGGACAGCAAGGAGGCGAGTGGTTTGCTGCAACAGCTGAAAAATAACTCATTCGGGACTTTGTTTAGGCCTTGCTTGCCACTTTATTTCGATCGTGGATTGTGTTTTTCCTAAGTTTGCCAACCTACCCATCTACTTGCTAAATTTTGATAGATTTCTGACAATTTTTCATTTGACATCGTTTGTCTTCCCTTGCTTCATTTAACAGCTGATTTTAAGGGTGACTTTGTAGCTCTAGTCACTCCTCAATCGACGGGTAGACTGCATAAAACACCGAAGGGTCTTCGCTAAGGGGGTGGAGAATCCCTTTTAGTTCATTTCTGGCCTGTGTCTGATGTTGCATAGCCAACAAAAGGGGGAATTTGGCCCTGTTTACTGGATTAAGCAATGGCGCGGTGGGTTTGTTACGCCACGATTGCCTCCATCAAAACCCAACCCTGGAAAAAATGGGACTTACACATTGCCTCCATGCAAACCCTGTTCGACACTTTAAGGGATGTCGAAGCATATAAACTGTCAGTACCTTTCACAAGGAGGTCTTTCTGCATCCATTCAAAAAATTGGTTAGCTTTTTTGTAAAAAATCAAAAAAATCAAAATGAACTTTACATTTTTTGTTTTTTTTTGCTTTCGTTCTTGGCCTTCATTCTTTAACTAATTTTGCAATTCTATTAATGCTACTTAAATGTCTCATGGGGATTTCAGTAGCAACAGTACATTAAGAAATCTTTGAAGAGTCATTTAAGAAAATAAGTTGTTTTTTTTTCGTTTATTCAAGAATAGGAACCATAACTGGTGGAACACGCTCTTCCTTCGGCTCTCACTCATATACGTCCTCTTGTATTTTATAACTTAACAACTTACTTTAGTTCTGCTCCACTAAGTGCCTAAGTTAATGCGATTTTTTTAACCCTGCCGTCTTCAGTGTAGTGATACGGTAAAATTTAGGAGTAAAAATGCCTCTTAATTCAGGGATGGAAATGAGAAGACCATATTTTTTTGTATGAAGGCTCAATTACTGGTGCCATTCAAGTCTACTTTTTTCACTCCCTCTTTTCATTACTTCTGTCTCGGTTGTCACTTAATTTGTAACACGAGTATTTTGCTGGTCAAAGAACTGACCACAATGATCCCTAACGCTAAGTTTGCGTTGGAAAATCCAAAACTACTTGATTTTAATTGTCCATTTTTGTGTTTGGAAGTGACATAAAGATCACATGCAAAGCACTGAAAAGTGGTAGCAAAAAATGGCATCTCTTGCATCAGTCTCACAGTTTCGTGAGGAGACTTTAAATTAAAAGGTGGTCTCTTCCTTCTTGCAGTAGATGGGAACGTGCTATTCGCAGTGCAAAGAGACAATCACTCCAATCCACCTGGGCAACGCAGCTGTCAGCTACCAACAACAACAACAACAACAGCAACAATTACAACAGCATCAACAGCATAAAAGGCCACGAACTTCGATCCAGGAGACTTCAAATCATAACGAAACACAATTAGAGAAGGAAAAAGTTCAAAGAGAACACGTTAAAGGAGATTTGGTGGAAATGGGACTGAAGTCAGAAAAGCGAGGAATGGAGGCCGGCTACCCACCTGATTGCGTGGAGAAATTGTCTCTCTCGTCGACAGAATCTACGGATTGTCGTGAGTTATGCGTGATTAGCGGCGTCCATCCGCCAACTTTACTCCTTTGTCAGTTCAAGTCCTTATCTATTTATTCTATCTTCCATCCATCCATCCATCTATTCACCCTCACATTATTGCTGGCATGCTCTCAGATGCGAAGACATGACAAGCTTCTAAGCTATGATGCAACGAAACTACTCATCGTCCCTTGTTTTAGGCATTGTACTTGTTAAACTTGTGTCACCAAGCAGGCAAGGGTCGGAAAGAGGGTAGTTGTGGGTACCTTGAGGCATCTCAAGAATGATAACTTCTAAGGTCACACAGATGATAGCAAGACAATCCTTTATACACCAATATGCCACTCATATGATAATAGCCAAGTTATCTCTATGACTTTCACTTTTACCTATTCGCAAGATCTAAAGCACTTCGAACAGCTTAAGAACTGCTACTGCAATTTGATTGGTTCTTGTTAAACCAATCAATAACTTCCTTCACTAAAATGGATTTTAGTATTTGAAAAAACATGTTAAACCAATTTTAATGGCATCGGTAGGACTAAGTAAATCATCTTTACTCTCATTCCATATTTTTTACCGCTTTTTTTATTAATAACGTAAGATTTTACACTTTCCTTAGTAGGCGAAGTGACAAATGAGGAGGGAGATCACAAAGTCGACCAATCTTATGAGAATGAGTTTCCGAGCCTCTCCAACTCTTCACTAGCCACATACGCCAGGCGGAGGCTCTCTATTGAAGGTCTTCCTACACCTGGATCTACCGATTCCACATTCGCGTGTCTATTGAGGTCTGGGAACAGTTTTGAGTTAAAAATTAAAATTAAAAATTATTTTCTTAGAAATGTGATTATTCGAATCAACTTAGTTTAGGTCTACATGATTAATCGGACGAGTTTTGTGGTCCGTAAAATGGACCTACCTTTAAACTACGCTTATCAAAGTAGACTTGAAATAATGAACTGCATGTTGAGGTGGATGCTCCGAGAGAGAGAGAGAGTACGAGGCACGATGGTTCTTTATACCACTTGTAAGGTTGAAGTCCGCCTCCACCCCACATGTCGCCATGGGCGTGGTTAAATACACCAAAAAAGGATTAACTTACCCCTTCTCCCATACCCTACCTCCAATTCGTATAAAGTTTGGTAGATAGGAGGGTAGAAGAGGGAGAGAATGCACGGGAGGGGTCACACACATGTGCATAATTACAGAGAGCAAAATTTGATGGAATGCATAAATCATGAAGTCATATAAAGGCATCCTAAAAATAAACCGAGTGGTTGCGCAATGTCAACGGTTAAACTCCTGAATGCCGCTTGCGGCCACGGCCCATCACTGACAGGTAATAGCAAAAAAAATTTTGTAAGATTCAATGGTTGGATGGTAAAAAGAAGTGGCATTAACGTTAGTGAGACAAAATTCCGTCTATAGAATCACTCTAATGGGAAGAGCTGCACAAAAAACAATTTAAGGGTCCAAACGCACCCTTGGCAGCAAGATGGACGCTCTCAATAAAAATGACAAGGCAGAGCCCTTAAGAATCTCCGATACGGTTTGCCTTCTTATGGGTGAGAAAAAACGCCGTAATTTCTTAATAAATATCTTTTAGACTTCGAAAAATTGTCAAAATGACGGAACAAAACAAGATTTCGAAGTCGGCACTCATTGAAAATCTCAACTATGCACTTCAGGTGGTACAGAAGACATATATTGAGGAGACTAAGTAAGTTTTAAAAGGTTTGGTTGCATTTTAACCTCTCCAAATTTGCAAGGAATCTTTAATAAAAAACTATTATAAAATGATGATAAAGAAGTTAGGCGAAATGACATGAGCATTTTGACAAACTCGCTTCACTGAGGCCAAAAGTCAATCCTCAAAGTTAAAAATGCTCATGAATTTAAATACGCATTAAAACAACAAAAATACTTACTTTAAATTAACTTTTTCTACCAATGTGTTTGATTTGATTGGCCGAAATGCAGGCAGTCTTTTTGTAGGCGCCTTCGTGACGAAGACGACGAGTTGTCGGAGACCGCGTGCTCGGAGGTGCCTGACGAGGTGCGTGACTGGTTGGCCACAACCTTTACTCGCAATCCCTCCGGAAGCAGACGAGTGGCAAAACCGCGCTTCAGATCGGTGGTCAATGCCATTCGAGCAGGAATTGTGGTGGAGAGGTAAGGCTCCATGTTATGAAGTGGAATCTTCACAGGCAGCAGTCGAATAACGGTAGTATAGTGATCTAATAACCCCTAAAAATAGTTGTTTTTAGTCTTCTTACTGTTGATACTAATGCAGAAATACTTTTTGACATCAAAGAGTGGGATTTTGTTGTCCCAATCACAAGGCAGTAGGGCGGGCGGAGGAGGCAGGATTTTAGCAAAAAAAAATTTGGAGTGATTTGGTAATGTCGAGTACAATTTGATTGACTGGTGAGTACTGTGTCGCATGTGCACTCTTTTAGGATTTATCGCCGAATGTCAAGTTGTACTTGCCTTACGCTTCCACCCAACGTGATCCTCCTCTTAAAGGTACCCATTAAATGTGCACCCTCCATTTTTTCTGGACTGTGTTCACTTTGCGCATTCCACACTGCACTAATCCTGCATGAACTCTTAATTTTTTTGGTAGAGGCAAAAATGCGGCAAAATACTTTACCAAAGTGCGTAATCTGTAAGCAAATTTGTCCGGAATTGAAATTTGAGGTACTTAAGCCTCCAACTGCTAAAAGTAAGGGCTCAGATTATAGTAGACGAGTTTCCTTAATAACGAAATTCCTATAGCACATTATTTTGAGATAATTCTGGTACACATAAACTACCTGAAGCGTTGAAATAGCTGATTTTATGATTACTAAAGACGCGCGTGTTCTACTGATAAACTTATAAGTAGCACAGGTTTTAAACTAACTCAGTTTATATTTTCTAATACCATTTTGGATCGGCAGCCTTTTGTGCGTAAGAGAGCAGAGTTGTCATCGACATTTTATCTTTATACACAGAGTGGTCTTGATGAATGGAATTTCAATGTGTTCGAGTTCAACGAGGTTAGCTCGAATCATGCACTGAAGTACGTCGGATTCGAGCTGCTGCACAAGTATAACCTTATCTCCAAATTCCAGGTAGGTAAGGGAGGATTGGCGAGGCAGTGAGCGCTACACTGTAACCGCCAAGCACTTTAATCCAATGGAAATTGGGACCCCTTAGAGGGGACATTTAAATGGCTGAAAAAATATTTAAAAATCGTTTTCATTAAAGGTTTAGAGAAATGTTTTTAAAAAAAACTATACTCATTTCAACTATAATTTTCTTTTCTC